GCCAGCCTGTGCCCGACACTCCCACCAACAAAATCAGCGGCCAGCCCGTGCCCGAGACTTCTTCAGCCAACAAAATCAGCGGCCAGCCCGTGCCCGAGACTCCTTCAGCCAACAAAATCCGCGAGCCCGTGCCCGATGAGGAGGAGGACAACGAGCCGGTGCCCGAAGTGCCCCAGGAGGGGGTGGTCGCCGAAGTGCCCGAGGAGGGGGAAAACGAGCCAGCGGCCGAAGTGTCCGAGCATAGCGCAGAGCAGGAATCTCAGTTGCAAGTGCGGCACATGTCCATGTTGGAAGTGGTCTGTCGGTTAGTCACTTGTAACGGTTGATTCATTGCTTGGGGCCCGGGCGCCAAGGCGACCACACAAGAGAAGGAGGCGCATGCCGAAGGCGAAACCAATGCCTTTGTGTCTGAGGACTAAGTCGCCGTGGTTTTTGGACTGACGAGTCTCGTAGAGATTAGTCAAATTGACCCCCTGCTCCTGGGTCGAGTTGGGCCACGCTGGGACCGAGTCAATCTTACAGTCTTACTAGTTATACTATCGACAACTTGACCGGATTCTGGTAGTACTGCAGGACATGGACAACATTATTAGGCTGATAGGCAGGTCCGGCTGGGTCCGAAACATTTTGCACGGCGCCATGCTGGTTCGTGCCGACTAAATGCGTTCTGGGCTGTGGCTGGCCCTTGGAATCGGAGCAAAAAATCTTCCGCTTGCATCCGTGCTGGATCTGTTGTTTGACCAAACTTGTTTCTTGTGTGCTATGTGTCCTTGCGACAGGCCGGTGACGATGTTTCCTTTACGTGTGGAGCTTGGTGCGGCGCCGCCGTTGTGCGTGTGGGACTTGGTTCAGGTTGCGTCTTGTTTTTTCCTGTGCGCTGAGGTCCTCAGAATCTTTGCCCATGGCCCGAGAGCCTGCTGCGAGGCCAGCCGACACATTATTGTTTATTCAGTTCAAGCACATAGTGTCAGAGTGGTCACCGGGGGATGAATGCTGTCACTGCCCGGCATGCCACTCAATTACTTTGGGAGGTGCCCGAGTCTTCCGACCCCTGGGTTGAGGACAGGCTTTACGTTCCCTCTAAATAAGTACGCCGCGCGCAAATCCCGTCCCAATCCAGTTCTTCTTTCACTCAGCTTTGACGGCCAGGCTCGTTCACGTGCCCCTTCCGGCGAGCACGCAGGCACGGGAGTCCACAGTCACATTTCAAAACTAAATACTGATACGATATGGGTGCCAGCGTCATGTTCCTTTTCCATGAGGGACTGATGGTCGTACGACCCCACAACGCTCAACCCGAAAAACCTAAACCCTAATTCCCAAGCCCCAAGATTGTCGAACCTTGCCTAGGGGATTGGTTAAGAATAATCGCATACAGTGTAAATAGTTTGCAGGCGCTGCTGGATTCTCGCGGGTCCAGAGGGATGCAGACCTTGACAGTGTAAATAGGCTTTCGGGCTTGTGTTGTGGGTGACTCCAGACTCCAGACCGCGTGGCTCAGGCATTGTGTTGTGACAGGATTCGTGAGGGATGTTTTCCTTCCATGCAACCTGGCCACAACTCCGAAAAACACTCCCGGCGAGGGCGTCTGCTTTGGTGGTTTGCGTTTTTGGTGTTTATTGGTCCGACGGGGTCCGGCCGGACGGCCGGACCCCGTCGGACCAATAAGGACGTTGTCCGAAACGGTGGGCCTTCAGGGGTTTGTGCGCTCAGGGCGTCAAATGAGTTGCCAAAGACGTTCGGCTGTAAACACCGACTACTCACATCCGGCCCCGGTGCGGGCCGCGGAAATAGACATGAGCGGATGAATTACAAAAAAAACGCTGTATAATTGTAGTCAGGACAACAGACTAACCAGGATTAACGCTACCGGCCGGCGCGGGGGGCCTGGAGCCTCATGTACACAGGCAAGGAAATAGACCATTCTACTCTGTTACTCTTATAAGTTTGATCTAAGTCGATCCTGTGCACGCACAAAGGCTCCGTGCCGGTCTCCAGCGCCGGGGCCCGGCTTCAGATTGCTAGAAACAACAATAGAACCAGAATAACAAATGAGTTGAATACTATCGTGAAATTCAGTTGCAGCAAGAACGACTATTGCTTCATTAGTCGTCGGGGCGCGGTGACTGGAAGTATCAATAACACAAATTGACTTACCCATGTCAAAAACAAGAGCCAGAATGCGTGAAGCTCTGGAGCAGCGTCGGGGCCCGGCGCCGGGGCCCGGCGACGTGGCCGGTGATTTGGACCAGAATCTAGGACTAGCTTGGATTAGGCACAAGCTTTACTAACTTGAGGACGAAGAGCAAGAATGTACGAAGCTCTGGACCCGGTGCCGGGGCCCGGCGCCGGGGCCCGGCGCCGGGGCCCGGCGCTAGTATAGTATTATCAGTGATTGCTATCCTTACTACTACTAAACAGAACTACTATTCCTAGTACTACTACTACTACTACTACTACTGCTACTACTACTACTACTACTACGACTACGACGACTACGACTACGACTACTACTACTACTACTATTATTATTACTACTTACTACTACTACTACTACCACTACTACTATTATTACTACTTACTACTACTACTACTTCTACTACTACTACTACTACTACTACTACTACTACTACTACTACTACTACTACTACGACTACTAATTAATACTAGCTATTGCTACCAGCACCACTGCCGGGGCCCGGTGCCGGGCCCCGGCGCCGGGCCCCGGCGCCGGGCCCCGGCGCCGGGCCCCCGGCGCCGGGGCCCGGCGCCGGGACCCGGCGCTACAACGACTACTTGTACTGTACGATTATTGTTACTTCTACCACTACTATTAGTAGTACTACTGCTACTACTACTACTACTAGTAGTAGTACTACTACGACGACGACTACTACTACTACTACGACTACTACTATTCTTACTACCACTACTACTACTGCTACTACTACTACCACTCCTACTACAGACTATCACTACTATTATTTTTATTATTAATATTTCTCTTTACTACTGCTTCTACTGCTACTCCAACGACTACTGCCGGGCCCCGGCGCCGGGACCCGGCGCCGGGGCCCGGCGCCGGGACCCGGCGCCGGGGCCCAGTGCCGGGCTCCGTTGTAGTAGTAGTAGTAGTAGTAATAGTAGTAGTAGTAGTAGTAGTAGTAGTCGTCGTCGTAGTAGTAGTAGTAGAAGTAGTAGTAGCAGTAGCAGTAGCAGGAGCAGGAGCAGGAGCAGTAGTAGTAGTAGTAGTAGTAGTAGTAGTAGTAGTAGTCGTGGTAGTAGTACTAGTAGTAGTAGTAGCAGCAGTAGTAGTAGTAGTAGTAGTAGTAGTAGTAGTAGCCGGCCCCGACGCCGGGCCCCGGCGCTGGCCCGGCGCCGGGACCCAGCGCCGGGCCCCGGCACTGCTGGTAGCAATAGCTAGTATTAGTTAGTAGTCGTCGTAGCAGTAGCAGTAGCAGTAGTAGTAGTAGTACTAGTACTAGTAGGAGTAGTAGAAGTAGTAGTAGTAGTAGTAGTAGTAGTAGTAGTAGTAGTAGCAGTAGTAGCAGTAGGAGGTGGAGGAGGAATAGAGTAGGAGGAGGCGGAGTAGGTAGTAGTAGTTGTTGTTGTTCTAGTCGCAGTAGTAGTAGTAGTAGTAGTAGAAGAAGTAATAGTGTAGTCGTGGTCGTAGTCGTAGTAGTCGTAGTAGCAGTAGTAGTAGTAGTAGTCGTCGTAGTAGCAGTAGCAGTAGCAGTAGCAGTAGCAGTAGCAGTAGCAGTAGCAGTAGCAGTAGCAGTAGCAGTAGTAGTAGTAGTAGTAGTAGTAGTAGTAGTAGTAGTAGTAGTAGTAGTAGTAGTAGTAGAAGTAGTAGTAGTAGTGGTGGTGTCGTCGTAGGTAGTGGTAGTAGTGGTGTAGTAGTGGTAGTAGTGGTAGTAGTGTGGTAGTAGTAGTAGTAGTAGTAGTAGTAGTAGTAGTAGTAGTAGTAGTAGTAGTAGTAGTAGTAGTAGTAGTAGTAGTAGTAGTAGTAGTAGTAGTAGTAGTAGTAGTAGTAGTAGTAGTAGTAGTAGTAGTAGTAGTAGCAGTAGTAGTAGTAGTAGTAGTAGTAGTAGTAGTAGTAGTAGTAGTAGTAGTAGTAGTAGTAGTAGTAGTAGTAGTAGTAGTTGTAGTAGTTGTAGTAGTAGTAGTAGTAGCAGCAGTAGTAGCAGTAGTATTAGTCGTCGTAGTAGTAGTAGTTGTTGTTGTAGTAGTAGTAGTAGCAGAAGTAGTAGAAGTAATAGGAGTATTAGTAAAAGTAGTAGTAGTAGTAGTAGTAGTAGTAGTAGTAGTAGTAGAAGTAGTAGTAGTAGTAGTAGTAGTAGTAGTAGTAGTAGTAGTAGTAGTAGTAGTAGCAGGAGTAGGAGTAGGAGTAGTAGTAGTAGTAGTAGTAGTAGTAGTAGTAGTAGTAGTAGTAGTAGTAGCAGCAGCAGTAACAAGTTACTTCCCAGTTAGTAGTACTAAGCCGTCGTCGTCAAAATCGTTCTCCTTTCAGTCAAATAATAAGTACTTTAGATCCAGCTGCCACGAGCAGGATGACTTTCTTGGACTTATAGACGATGGAGACCGCGCAGCGCTCAGCGGTTCGTCCTTTGGGCTGCTGTCGTGGAGACCGCTGCATGACATGAGGCAGCTCTCAAGCTCGCATGGTTTAGGTGTGAGTGATGATGTTAAAGCATATGTTCATCAGTGTCCAACTTGCCAAGGGGGGAAAGGAACCATTAGTCATAAAACTGGCAAATTGAACCCTATTAGAACAAACCCTAAACCCGAAACCCGAAACCCTAAACCCGAAACCCGAAACCCTAAACCCTACAGTAAACCCTAAACCCTAAACCTTAAACCCTAACCCTAAACCCTAAACCCTAAAAAACCCTCACTCAACCCTGGTGAAGTAGAGTTTTAGCCTGGTTCCCGAAGGAGGCACGGAAACGGGTATTGTGCCCGAAGGAGGCACGGCAACGCTTGTTGTGCCCGAGGGAGCCATGGCAACGGGTGCTGCTGGCAGGAAGAGGCTCCTGCTGCGTCCGGAGGATCGGGAATTTATGGTGACAAGTGTTCACATCGCGGCCGGCTCGAAACGGCGCGCGCCCGACTCCGCGCCCGACTCCGCGCCCGACTCCGCGCCCGACTCGAGGCGGCCCGTGAAGCAGGAGCCTCAGGCGCAAGTGGTCGTCAAGTCGGAGCCCGTGGACGAAGAGGCTGTTGCTCCAGCACACGATGGGCCCGAAGAGAAGAAGCTGACCCATCGCCAGAAGAAGCAGCGGGAGTACGAGAGCAACCGCAGGTCCACGGCGCGCACGAGGAGCGGGGTTATTTGGGTACAGTTCTTGTCGGCAGCTTGTTGATTGAATTGGCTGAGGGACCCATCGGTTGAATAGCTTTGTTGTTCAGGAAGGGGGCGGCCGCTGTGCGGAAGCTGGAGTCCGAGGTTGCCAGGCTCAAGGCCGAGTTGAACTCTCCGGCCTCCGCGGCCCCCTTGCCCGAGGGCATGGACGACCTGCGAAGGCAGTGCCTGGAGCTGAGGGCCCAGTTGGGAAAGCAGGACGAGTTGCTGGAAGCAGCGTGGAACGACAACACCCGGCTGAGGGAGATGAACAGCAATCTCCGCAGGACCAACCTGGGCCTGAAGCGGCGGCTTGAGCAGCTAGACCTGGTGGATTTTCGTGAACAGGCATCGCAGCTGTCATAGGATGCAGCGTGCTGCTGGTGCGAGAGTCCGACACTCATGACTGAGCAAGAGGCTTTGTCCGAGTGTCCTGTCTAGGGGATGGGGGACTTGCAGTCGCAAGTGTGAAGAAAGCAGCGGCCATCGTCTGAGAGCTTTCCTTTATGAGTCAGTCCGACTCTGCTGAGTGACTGCCTGTTTCAGCACATGACGGCGTAAACAGCAGACATTTGTGCAGGCTCCGTTTGCTGATTCAAGCCACTGGGTGAGCCATGGCGCCTTTGAAAGTGGCGATGGAATGCTGCGGCTACAACTCCGCAGTCACCCGTCCATGTCTTTCATATTCGGAACATGTCTGAATGGCAGCAGCGTCCTGTTTCTTGTCAGTTATGAGGCCATTGCACTGGGCAACCTCGGAGTGGACTTCCAGATCGTTATGGTGTCCGAGTTGTCGCCGTCGATTCGTGCACTGATGGCTGTGACGCACGAGTACCTGCAGACCCAGCCTCTGTACGCGCCGGAGGACGCCTGGGAGACACGTAGATCTGTTTAACTTACAGTTCCAATTGCTCTATCAATACGAAGGCAATGACCTGGATATCTGAGGACATGTTGACGCGAGAGAGCCGACCAGGCTGCGACCTCTACGTCGCGACAACGCCGTGTCAGGACTTCTCGAGCGCGGGTGAACATGCAGGACGGCCGTGGCCGGACCGGACATGCACGCGCCCACTCAGTCGTCTGAGTCTGTCAGGAAGCCAGGGCAAGAATGGCAGGCTGTTCCACCGTTCGATTGCCCGAATCGAGGCCGAACGTCCGAAGGTGGGGCTGTAGGAAGCACAGAGTAGGGAGACTCCGCACGGACACGTCTGGAGGTCGTGGTCCTCGAAAACGTGGAGGGCCTTCCCACCCGCCACGCAGCAGACGTGAAGAAGGCAATGACAAAGCTGCGCAAAGCTGGATATGTTGCCTGACAGACAGATAGAGTCCTGCTGAGCAGTATTGTTTAGTTTCATGCGATATCAGAGGTTTGCAACTTCAAGTTGCTCAACACGGCCGAGCACGGCATACCACAATCCCGTGTCCGATTTTTTTTGGTGGGCATCCTGGAGTCCTGCCTCCTGCCCGACAGCTCGCTCGAGGACGCCTTCCCCAAACCACTCCCGGTCCAGGCCCGCTGTTTTTAACCCTATTATTGTGAATAATTGGCCACTCCCATGGTGGGTTTTCCCGGGCGGCAGCCAGGTGAAGACGTCGGCGTTCTTGGACACGAAGATTGTGCGACAGGAGCCCGTGCTGGACGAGAAGAAGCAGTGTGCCACGTTCCGCAAGAACATGACGAAGGCCACGGGCGGACAAGGCGTACAGCCAGTCCAGCAGAAGTGAAGTTAGTTAGTTTCCCTATCTCTCCAGGCGATAAAGAAGCACGGGGAGGCTGCTGTCCGAAAGCACGGCGTCATTGTTGATATCAGTGCAGGCTTGCACACGCCCCTTGCATGAATTGTCCGTGCCGTGCATATGTGTGTGTGTGTGTGTGGGTGTGTGTGTGTGTGGGTGTGGGTGTGGGTGTGGGTGTGGGTGTGGGTGTGGGTGTGCGTGTGCGTGTGCGTGTGCGTGTGCGTGTGCGTGTGCGTGCGCGTGTGCCTGTGTGTGTGTGTGTGGGGGTGTGTGGGGGTGGGGGTGGGGGTGGGGGTGTGCGCGTGCGTGTGCGTGTGCGTGTGCGCGTGCGCGTGCGCGTGCGCGTGCGCGTGCGTGGGGGTGTGTGCGTGTGGGTGTGTGCGTGTGGGCGTGTGCGTGTGTGCGTGTGCGCGTGCGCGCGTGTGCGCGTGCGCGCGTGTGCGCGTGTGCGCGTGTGCGCGTGTTCGCTTTTGCGCGCGTGCGCGTGTGCGCGTGTGTGCGCGTGTGTGCACGTGTGCGCGTGTGTGTGCGTGTGCGCGTGTGTGCGTGTGTGCGCGTGTGCGCGTGTGCGCGTGTGCGCGTGTGCGCGTGCGCGCGTGTGCGCGTGTGCGCGTGCGTGCGCGTGCGTGCGCGTGCGTGCGTGTGTGGGTGTGGGTGTGGGTGTGGGTGTGGGCGTGGGCGTGGGCGTGGGCGTGGGCGTGGGCGTGGGCGTGGGTGTGGGTGTGGGTGTGGGTGTGGGTGTGGGTGTGGGTGTGGGTGTGGGTGTGGGTGTGGGTGTGGGGGGGGGGGTGTTTGTGTGGTGGTGTTTGTGTGTGTGGTGTGGGGGGTGTGCGTGTGCGTGTGGGTGCGTGTGCGTGGGTGCGTGTGTGCGTGTGTGCGTGTGTGCGTGTGTGTGCGTGTGGGTGCGTGTGCGTGGGTGTGTGTGTGCGTGTGTGTGCGTGTGTGTGTGTGTGTGTGTGTGTGTGTGTGTGTGTGTGTGTGTGTGTGTGTGTGTGTGTGTGTGTGTGTGTGTGTGTGTGTGTGTGTTTGTTGTGGTGTGTGTTTGTTGTGGTGTGTGTTTGTTGTGGTGTGTGTTTGTTGTGGTGTGTGTTTGTTGTGGTGTGTGTTTGTTGTGGTGTGTGTTTGTTGTGGTGTGTGTTTGTTGTGGTGTGTGTGTGTGTTGTGGTGTGTGTGTGTGTGTTGTGGTGTGTGTTGATGTGTGTTGGTGTGTGGGTGTGTGGTGTGTTGTGGTGTGTGTGTGTGTGGGGTGTGTGGTGGGTGTGTGGGTGTGTGTGTTGTGTGTGTGGGTGTGTGTGTGTGTTGGGTGTGGGTGTGTGTGGGGTGTGTGGGGTGTGTGTGTGGGTGTGTGGGGTGTGTGGGTGTGTGTGGGTGTGGGGTGTGGTGTGTGGGTGTGGGGGTGGTGTGTGGGTGTGTGGGGTGGGGGTGGTGGGTGTGTGGGTGTGTGGGTGTGTGTGTGTGTGGTGGGTGGTGGGGTGTGTGGGTGGGGGGTGTGTGGGTGTGTGGGTGGTGGGTGTGGGTGTGTGGTGTGGGGTGCTGGTGTGGGTGGGGGTTGTGGGTGTTGGGTGCGGGTGTGGGGTGCGGGTGTGGGTGTGGGTGTGGGTGCGGGTGTGGGTGTGGGTGCGGGTGCGGGTGTGGGTGTGGGTGTGGGTGCGGGGGTGCGGGTGCGGGTGTGGGTGTGGGGGTGTGGGTGTGCGTGCGTGCGTGCGTGCGTGCGTGCGTGCGTGCGTGTGCGTGTGCGTGTGCGTGTGCGTGTGTGCGTGTGTGCGTGTGTGCGTGTGTTGTGTTGTGTGTGTGTGTGTGTGTGTGTGCTGCGAACAAGCGAGGCGTTGTACTATGGACACATCACCGACATTGACCGCCGCGCGAGGACGCAATGCTGGCTGGTACCTTCCGAAACGGAAGCAACGAGTCACAACCCTGGAGATGGCCCGATTGCAAGGACATCATGCTGCTCATGAAACATGTCAACACTGACACGCAGCAGCAGGACCATTAATTTTTATGATGGTTTCTCACGCTTCTACCTCCCCGCTCAGGAGTGCCCACCGCTTTGGCCCAGAAGCTGTCCGAGGTGATCTCCACGCCGGGCTTGGGGGCAGCGTTGGGCAACGCCGTTTCGGTGAACGTCCTTGAGCGACTCTTTTATGGTATCATGAAGGTCACGGGCTTGGCCGCTGTGGAGCCCCAGGAGTTCTGGGCCAGAATCAGCCCGAGTCTGCCGAAGCGCAAGGCCAGGTGTGTCATTCCGAACGCCTAGGGACGTGCGCAAAGCAAGCAAGTTGTCCAGGCCTGGAAGTACATCGAGTCCGAGCGCGCGTCCGAGCGGGCGAAGGCACAGGCGCAGAGCTCGACCGAGCTTTGCTAGTCTAATATAGGGGGCAGGGTAGCTCGCTGCAGGGTAGCTCGCTGGCAAAGGAGTAAAACATGTGTTTTTTCTTGCTCACTGGTCCGAAACCCGCCACAATTGAATGCCTCCGGTGTTGCACAAGGCCGGGGGACCTGTGCTGCTTTCGGGTCTGCTCGTGAGCTGTCATCCCGTGAAAGGTGAAAGAGGTGGACCCTCGATGCCCGATGGTTTTCCCATCGGAAGGCCCACGCCTGTGGGTGTTTGGCACGAATGTCTTGATCCCCGACGACAAGGTCGACCTGGCCACAGCCGAGAAGTTGAAGTCCATGGGCCTGATGGCGAAGCCGTGCGGACAGGAGGCCGCCCGCAAGGAGCTCATGAAGGCTTCTCTTCGGAAGCGCTGCGCGGAGGGGGTCTGGAAGAGCCACGTCCGAGCCCGCCCGACTCCGAAGAAGCGCAAGAGCTTCTATTGTCCGGAGTGCAAGAAGGAGGTCAAGGCCGTGCGGCTGGAGGAGCCGACCAAGGAGAGCCAGGAGACAACACGCGCAAGCACCCCGTGAGTCTGGGCCTAGTTTTGCGCCAGAGCGACCGAGGCTCTGAGGACGGTGCATGTCACGCCTCTCATGAGCCTGTGTGCAGACACAGTGTCAGCCACAGGCATCACGGCTCAGCAGACTTGGCTGCTTGTGAGCTGTAGGTAACAGTGGTTCCGAGCCATGGGCCGAAAACCAAAGGCCTCCTCGAAGTCGGCCTCGAACCCGAAGTCGGCAGCCAAGAAGACGATCGAGAAGGGCAAGGACAGTGCCGACAAGGAGCCCGAGGTCCAGAAGGAGGACCAGGAGGGGAAGGCCGACCGACAGAAAGGGCTTCAAGTTGTCCTGGACGCCGTGGCCTTCCTGAAAAAGAAGAAGCTCTGGGTCTGTGACTCGAGGAGCAAGGTGGCGAAATGCCCCCGATTTCCGGAGAAGTGGTCCGGCAGCCAGGTTGAGAAGGCCTGGCGCTCAGACATTGCGTGTGTCGGCGTCAGAGGCAGTCACCTGTCACTGTCGAATGTGTAACTGCAGTGGGGTTGTGTCAGTCAGTTTAGGTTTAGGATTTGAGGGCTCTTGTCCGTGCCAGACAGCGACTTACGCGGGGGCTTTGTGCGACGTGGACTTCACAACGGCCGAGCTATTCTCGGAGGCCGAGGTCCGAGACGCCATGAGCTATTGGTGGGGCCCGAAACGTGCACGAGAATGTGTGGACGGCTGTTTCTTCGTTTCAGTGCTCGCCAAAGAGGACACGGAAGTCGGCGGCTTGATTTTGTCCGAGGGCAGTGCGAAGGTTGCGAGCCTCGTCCTCGCCTGGTCCATGGCAGTGGAGTCCAAGGACGAGGAGTTGTCCAAGTTGTACTGCAGTCTGGCGAGCAACGTGCTGTTCGGGGTCAGCAGGATCCACGCGTCTGAAGGGACCAGCACGAAAGTCGTCCTGAGGCTTATCCAGACTGGGGAGGACGCTTCCAAGGTAGCGACCGAGAGCGGGAACTTCCTGCCCTTCATCCTGGCCAGCCGCTTGGTGAGGCCAGGCCGCGGCTGTACTGGCTGAGAGATGGGCACAGTTAAGTCAGGCGCGTGATCTTCGGAACGTCTGATTAAGCTTGGGATGTCATATGATCCTGGGGATTCAGTCTGGGTGTTGGTCTTAAGGGGCATTAAGTGTTTCAGGTTATGGGGTTAGGTTAGTCTAGGGTTTTCAGGTAGGTTTTCATCGCGGCTCCCTGGGGGGGGGGGGGCTTGTCGGGGCGTACGGAGGTTCAGTTTAAGCATTGTCGGCCGCGGGTGTGCTTCGGAGTCCTGTCGCCTGAGTTTAAAGTGGGCCTGAGTTATCAATGTTCTTGGTCGTTGCTGGTCCTGTCAGCGTCTTGGGTTTGACTGTAAGACGTTTTCGTCTGACGGAGCCGCTCCGTGGTGTTTGAATTAAGAACCGTGTTGGACAGAAACTCTGTCAAGCCACACATGCTGCCTGTCTCTAGCATGAAGAGCAGAGGCAGCTTCACAACTGCGTGCGTGCCGTGATCTGTGCGGGAGCAGGACGACAGACAGGGCCACGAGTCCGTTAACCGCAGTGTGTTTGTACGAAGCTTCGCGTCCGTGTGCGCAACAACACAGGGTTTTGCGGTTTGTGGGGTGTGGAGCCGGCAGGCAAGCAGCAACTGTAGAATCATACTGGATTCGGATGACAGGGGCCCGCGCGAGTGACGCCCGAATCTCAGCCCGAGCATCCAAACGCAGTTTGACAGGAGGACGGATCGCGCGTGTCGAGGGTTTAAAATTCTTCAATTATGCTGCAGCCTGTTCATTGTTGAATTCGCCAAGGGGGTTCAGGCGGTTTAGGGCGCCTGCGATGTTGTTGGGGTGTGTAAAAGCAGGTGTAAGTTTTAGGGTCAGGACATGTCTGGTAGAGCAACCGCCAGGCTGCGCGCAGCACTGAAGACCGAGGGCGAGCCCACAACACACGATGCTGTCTTCGAGAAGCTGAAGGAAATTCAGTGGTCAGGCGAAGAGAGCACAGCAGCTCGAAGCAATTAAACTTGTGATTGTGCCAGGGTGGTCTCGCTGTCCGTGGTCTTGCGTGTAGCCTGAATGAAGTAAGGTCCAAACGTCGGACTATGTCCAGAAGTTGCTCAAGATGCACGAGAAAGCAAGCGCTAGCAATTTGATCGATGCGCTGCAAGCCTCCCAGGTTGTGGGGGGGGTGAAGACGTGGGTCGCCAAGTGGTCCATAGTGACCCGCGTGCCCTGGGCTGAGTCATACCCATGCCGCTTTGGGGGATTCTGTTTTCTCTCAGCTCTTGCAGTGTCGCGTGCAAGGTCAGCGGCCCTGAAGTCGAACGAAGAGTTCGGGTTCGTCATGGCCTTGTTTGTCAAGGCCGGATCTGAATTATTTAGGGTCTGATCTATGTTCGGGCCACAGATGAAGCCACAGGAGATTCGGCCCGATGTCCTGCCCCGAGACGCCGTTCGGGACCGTGTCAACATCATGTCCGGGCACAGCGACATGCGAAAGCTGACGAAAGAGCAGACATTGCAGGTCATGTGGCTGCATTGGCAAGGTTGTTGGTCGGGGTCGCTGCAACCTCTGATTCCGTATTTTCGAGGTCACAGCCACGCTTCACATGCGCTTTGTGGTGCTGGAGCAACTGCTCGACATGCCGCTGGGAGAGAAGAAGCCCGAGGAGCGTGGCAAGTTTTTGGAGCTGATGGGGAAGGCTTTGAAGCGATGTGTTTGGACTTTGGAACGCTGGGGGCGAGTTTTTCGTCCGAGCCTTACGTTGGCATCAGCTCTTTGATCATGGCCTTGATGGCGGGCACGCACGATGGGGTCTTGGCCGCGGCTGCTCAGTCGCCCGAAAAGGAGACTGGGGTTATTACTATTATTGCTTATGACTACCGTCTGTCACTGTGTTACACGTCGTGTCCCCGTATCAGCATCAGGAGCGACATGAGCCGCTGACGAAGCTTCTGAAGGGGCCCGTGGACACGTGGAAGATGTTGACCATGAAGACCACACCGCCGCCAGAGCCGGCGACCGAGACAACTTCGCCAAGGAAGGAGCGCAAGCTGGAGCTGGAGGCAGAGGCCACGGGGGTCGCGGTCTCGCCCGAGGTTTTACGTGAACGGCAAGTGGCGGCCGCTGTGGAGGCAGGATTTAATGATTCAGCATGAAAAGATATTTATTAGCCAGCCAAACGACCGTTAGCCCATGATGCCTGCAGGAAGAGAGCAGTTTCTACTTGCACTGGTTGCTGGGCGACATCCGTGGGAAGGGCATATCCGCGCTTCAGGACTCATTGAAGGATCACGTCTTGGTTGCAGATCAGAAAGGCAGTCGCCTCTGGTACTTTGACCCGGGTCTCCTCACAGAGTACCACCCATACTCCCAGCACAACGTCTACCTGAAGCCGGGTGTGTTCGACAAGGCGTCCTTTGGAAATGCCCGATCCCTGGTCGAAGCCGTTGCCAACGAAGCCGAAGATGTCTTCATGACGTTCGACGCTGGCGTGAACAAAGGCGGGATCGAGATTAAGAAGGCTTTTGCGAGCATGTACATGAGCGCCCAGAGCATCTTCTTGATCCCGTCCGAGACGAGTCTTCAGAAGAGGAGAGACATGATGAGGGCCACGCCGGGGGCCGAGTTTGCTTGTCACGGCCGAGTATGCTTGCTAATTTCGAGCTGATTTGTGGCCTGTGCTGTGGCAGGTCCGAGTCAGCAGCGAAGAGAAGGAAGGCACCAGGTGCTGGAGATTTGGGGAACGTGGCCGGCCGCGAAACGGTGTTTTTTGGACGGCTGGATGGTGAGGTCATCACTGCCCGAGAGCATCGTGAATGGACATCGCCAGGTTGCTCCTCGACAGCTTGCCCCGTATCTGGTCCAGATTAGTAATTCGTACTTCTCCATTGGCAAGGTGAAACGGTAGTCTTTGTGCAGCTGGTGCTCAGGTGTTGACCGCGGTTCCGCTTCCAGACCCAGACGAGTTGGTGTGTGGCCCGAAGTCCATGAAGGAGCTCGCAGACTCGGCATGTTTGCAGTTCATTGAGGAAGGAGTAACAATGGCACTGCGTTTTGTCCTGACGCCAGGTGATTCCTGCGTCCTTGGGAAAGGGCGTTGTGTCCGACTTGCCGCCCGAGGCTGGGTCCGTGACAGTGAAGAGTCAATAAACTAAGAACGGGGCTCGCGGTTGCTCCATGACAGGTGCTGGCTGCGACCATGTCGGATTCCGATGAAATTCCGCTCCACTACTTCGAGCGCACGGGTTCCGTCTACAGGATGCTGATGCATACTGTCTTCTCGCCCGACAGAGTGATCAACTTCACGCCCGGCACGGGCGTCATGGCCCTGGAGTGCATCGCTCAGCGCCGTCCGACGTTGTTGGTCGTTGCGTCGGAAGGGCAGAAGACGCTGATCTTGAAGATCATCAAGGAGGCTCTGAGGAAGAGAATCACGAACCGGAACGACCAGCGGTTCTACCGGGCGCCCGAGGCATACGAGTCCAGTCCGGCGCCCGTGTCCACGCCGGTCCCCGTGTCCACTCCGGTGCCCGTGTCCACTGTGGTGCCCGACTCCACCGTGGCGCCCGAGTCCGCCCCGGTGCCCGAGCCCGAGAACGCGGCGCGCGACGAGAACAGTCATGATGGTGAATCTGAAGTAAGCGAGGCTCAGGAGGCGGATGATTTGTGATTGGCAGGCTCAGGACTAAGCTCATTTTCCTGGAGCTCGAGCCCCGGCGGCTCATTTTTGACTTGTGTGCTGGGTGTGTGCGTCAACTTATCACTGTATCATCGTTCAACACAGCTGGTTACTATTTAGCATGGCAGCACCCAGGGCACCCAGCAGTGCGGACGCATGGAAGCTTCACGTGAGACATAGCAAGCTCTGGGGCCCGCCCATTGGGCCGATGACTGGGGCATGTGAAAAAGTCTGGTCGATTGCGATTGTTTGGAGCAGCAGCTGCTAAGCTTCGAGAAGCAAATAGGATCTTAATCTTCGTGTCAAGCTCACGTGCTTTCTCAGGTCGACAGCCACGTCGCCTAACATGGATGCTGGGGGCCCAGCGTTGCTTTGCTCGTTTCGGGATATGAGTATGGGATTTGAACCCGGGATTTGTGTGGGAAGGGTGCCTGTGCACGTGGCAGGTCGCCCTTGAATCGGAGCCCGAATTGCCGGACATGGAGGCGGCGCGGGCTGTCAGCAGTCGTTCCTTGCTCATTCACTGGCTATCTGCTCTGGTTGCGATTGTCGTGCCAACCGAGGCATTTAGCCTGAAGGACCTCATTAGCTAGAAAATCAGTAAAATAATAATCAGACAGTGATGACGACAATGACGTGAATCTACTGCAATGTCCGAAGAGTTGGGTTTTCAAGCACCAGCACGAACTTAAAGAATCAGACCACAACAGCAGACCCGGACAAGATGGCCGCAGCAGAGCCGGCGTCTGCGCGCAGCGCTTGCCTCGCACCGCTCCACCAAGCACAGACCGCTGACTCGAGTCAGGTGTCCGATGCCACCCATGTGGCCAATTGCAGGTTGCCGTTTTCTAAATGTACCTCGTCGGCTGGGCTCTCTCCGACCCAGGTGAATAGACGAACGGGTGATAGACGTTCGAATTCGTTGTAAGTTTTGCATTGGACATTGCTCACTGAGGTAACAGATGCTTTTTCGAGGCAGGATTCCTTGGAAAATTGCGGCGTGGATCCAAGAAGCTTTTCCAGCAGTCCGAGACTCATGCTTGGCGGCATCGCTTCAGCTTCAAGCATCCAAGCAGTGGAGACTCGCGTCGCATTAGGACAAATCCTAAGACTGAGAGTGTAGCAGGCTTCCCGTGCCATGAGTCCTGTCTTTGGAAGCAGAGGACGAATGGAATCATGGATCACGATGCGGCCCGAATCTTGGCCTGGCGAATGGGCTATCGGATGTTGGGTGTGCAACGCCCGGAAGGAAACGATAACGAGTCTTGCCTGTACTAGTATGCCTGTGCTAGTAGGCTTCCACATGTTATGCCTGCCACTCACTGTCGTGTGTGTGTGTGTGCCCAGGTCATGCTCGTATGCCCGAATAGCGGTGAGCTCCCTCCACATGATGAGCACAGCAGCTTTCAATCTGCATGCCAAGTCCAAGGGGCACCAGCAGAGCTTGCAGCTGCTGACCAGTGCCGACACAGCGCCCGAGGGAGGCAATGCCATCGCCACGGGGATCAGCCAAGGGGTCCCGCGCATCGACAAGTTTAGGCTTGCTGCCACCGTGGTGGGGCGCCGTGACACATTCAAGGAGTGGTTGAGTAACTGCTGCTGCCACCGGTGGCACGTCTCATGTTGTGTCCTGCGAAGTTGCAAGAATCTAATCTGTTGTGAGGACTTCAAAGCCTATATGGAGTGCCTTGGTCAAGGTGACTTCTCAGAGCGAGTGTGCAAGCAAATGGTGACCTCTATGGCGCACGTCGTGCACGAGCAAGATCTCTGCGTTCTGGAAAAGGCAGGGGGATCAAGATGTTAACTTTCATTTAATAATCGCCTCGGCTGCGACCCGGCACAGGCCGAGCACTGCTGCCTGGCCTTGGACGAAAGGGATTCCTGTGTTCTTGTCGCCGCACGATTCTACTACTCAGGCCTCAATGAACGTGGTAGCCGACTTGACTGTCTGAACTGTGCCCATCGTAACAAGTATACTTGAGCAGCAGGCTTGAAACGCAACAAATGGCTCCCGCAATCTGGCCTGTACGACTGCCTCATCGGCATTGTCCGAGATCACGGGCCTGCGCCCGACATTTCGGCTGCACTGCACATGTCCTCGTAGCAAGTGCTTGTGCGTGTCAAGTCTGGCGAGATAATCAGTATAATAGCTAATGCCAAGTCGCCCAGGAGAACGTTGCGCAGGCAATCATGGAGACTTTGAAAAAATTCTGCACACGCCGTCGTGGACGTAGAGACAGCAGTGGAACTTGTGGTCCAGATGACGCGTTGGACGAGGAACTCTTCAAGAAGATGAAGGACGGGTCTGCAAGTGATGATTATACAATGGAGCTATTTAGGTGCAGTCGCGATATGAGTTGAAGTGTTAATAGCAGGACGTCACGAGTGTTGCTGTTGCCGATGGGGGTCCTGCAGAACAACAAGCTCTCCAGACTTTGGCCAGCAGCGACCTGCCCGAATTGAAATTTGTTGTCCGAGATCGGGCACATCGAATGCGGGCAGTTCAAAAACACACCTGGTCGACCATCAGCAAGATGTGTGATGGATTACTTGACGTCTTTGTCACAGGAGATGGCTCCATCGCACGAGTACTAGAATCGTCTCGCAAGCTGAGTCTAATCTTTGAGCAGGTGCAGGCCGGAGAATTTGCCCGAAACCTGAGGAATTTTGCGTTCGCCCTTCAGAGATTCGACTCCGCCAGTCTTCCACTCTTCAAGATCCTCAAAATGCTGCCGTGCGTGTTCCGCTTCCTGGTGAAGGTTGCTGCCTTGGACGATGCCGAAGATGCATCTTGGGCCCGAGACAAGATTGTCCGACTGAGCGGGGATGGCGCTTACAGAAACATTCTTCGGTGTGCCACGGTGTCCGATTGTATGGCTACGTGCCAGAGATTTCTGCGCCTCTGCGACAAGGCCGATAATGATGCATTGTGCTCTGGCAGAGAGGCGCGATGTTGCAAGGGGGGTTGAGTTCGCTTGTAGTTTGCCAAGTTTTGTTGCGTTTGCTCTCAGCCTCTGGTGCCCTGACCCTGTAGCAGGCTGCAGAAGTGATGCACAATATGGGTCACCTTTTCAAGGACGGAGCATTGCTGCATGCGGCCGGCAGCATGACTGTGGAGGCCATGGCGGTCTTGAGGAGCGTGAATGTCGTCCGCTACCAAGGAGCCCGATCAGCAGGGCAAAGAGGAGCAAAGCCCGAGCACGTCGCTTATGTGTGGCGAGAGGACACGACCGAGGCTTCCTTGAAAAAGGACATGGGCCGAATCTACAAAGTGATGACCGCGTACTTTCACCAGAATTTCCCTCACTGGGAATACATGAACAGCCTGGCATGTTTCGATCTCCACAGCACATTGACCATGGCCCAAAGGCACGATCTGGTTCTGCGAGTGGCGCATCAGTGGCAGGTTAACGGTGAAGCCCTCTGGAGTTTTGGGTCGATGTGCAGCATGAACTTTCTTGGCTTGAATCGTAGAATCGTATGCGGTTTCAAAGGCTTAAGCTGACATGCTGCCATGCTGTGCTGTGCCAGAACCAAGGAAACAGCTGGCGGGGAAGCCTTCGTCCGATGAGGAGTCCGAAGGCGGCCACGGCTTGTTCGCACGAGCCCTATGGCATGCAAAGAACCCGAGCAAACAATCGTCTAAAACGGCTTGGGTCCGAACTTTGGCCGAGCTACGCAAGTCACAAGTGGCGTCTCGGCCCGATGCAGTCAAGATCATCGCCCACAGCGTCGCGTATATGACTTCGACGTGCAACGTCGAACGCTGGCTTCACCAGCTGGCCTTGTCCGAACACAAGTCCCGTGCCCACCACCTGAGCGTCTATCGCCTGGAAGACGCGGTGAAGCTCAATGTGCAATGCATGGGCGGAACCAGGACGGGCATGCAGGCCGACGACCTCACAACAACCCCGGGCGAAGCTCTGGCCCGAGGGGTGCAGTGGCAGGCGTCCGACTTTGGCTTGCGATGCCAGACGGCTTATCGTGAGTTCTATGGGGAAAGAGTCCTCCCAGCACGAGGCATTTTGACTCCGGAAGCCCGGAGCAACAAGCCGAGGCTGGCAGCTCTGAGAAGCTCGTCCGAGAAGTCGCTCAAGAGCCAGATTGCTGCTCACTCAGCTGCCCTGGACACGTCCACTAGCACGAGCTGCAAGAAAAACCTCATGAAGGAGTTTGTGGCGGCTGCGACCGAGCTCGTCTCCAGCACCTGATCTCAATAGCGCAAGCAGCAGCAAATTATTAAATTGTCAAATTAGATTCTTGGGTCAGATGTTTTGCACTGTAGTTATATAAAGACATTATTGCTGAACATTTTTCCAGCAGTCAGTGCTCCATCAACCGTAGGCAAGGACGCCAATGCGGTGCCCGAAGAAAAGGCCGTGGACAATGGCAAGGCTCCGAGTGGCTTTGCAGCTTGGCCCGAGGACAGCAAGCCAATTATGTCTTTGGCTGACAAGAGCAGCGGGAGCAGCAGCAGCGGCAGCCACAAGCGCAAGAAAACCCCAGTTCCTGAGATGTCCGAGGCTGGTAAGGACGAGGAAGACATCATCGTGGACAAAGTGGTGGCGACCCAAGCAGAGGTTGCCAGAAAGAAGCGGGCGGTGGAGGTGGGTGCAAAGCCGGGTACCGTGCCAGCCTATGTGCATCCGACGGGGGCTGTTTTTGGCCCTGTCAAGCTGGCCGAGAAGAGACAGCAGCCCGAGAGGGCATCATCATCCCCAATGGAAACGCCAGGCGGCATCATTATGGTCCGAATTGGTCCTGGTGCAGTTTGGCCCGACTCAACCAGCAGCAGGTTCCGGATAACGCAAGATTGGGCTGCTACGAGTGTGCTGATGGTGGACAATGTGAATGCGCGTCTCCAGTCCGTAGATGGCCTGATGTGCAGGCTCCATGGCCTCAGCATTTGTGACAATGCATATATTGCAACGAGTGGGCGCAAGGGGTCCTGTCTCACCTTTGTCAAAGCACTAGATTTTACTTATCATGTGTACTTGTCCGAGCAGTTTTTGGCCGAATGCCCTCGACATGGGGAAGTGTTGCTGGGCCACGGGCATTTCGAGAATTGTAAACTCAGGGTTTACCGGGGCTCGAAGCCTGAGAAGCCGAATCATCCACGGTTGACGTACGAAGTACGGCCCGAGACAGTGGACAACTTGGCTTCAAATCATTTGAACTTGGACGGCCTTCTGATGAAGCTAGGGGTGTTGCGGCCAGAGTGAGAAAATTTGCATTGCCAGCTGGTCACGACAGACTTTGAGTCATTGCAAGGCAGCAAGCCAAGTCATGTTGCCTGACTGCAGGTGGCCTCCGGGCATGAGTGGCCGAAGTAGTCTTAATTTGTACAGTCGAGTCCGACGGAACGTAAAACAGTTGATGCACAGTGGCAGAATTGTCACTTTCACATAGATACACCATGCAAAAAAGGTAAAAAGATAATTTTCTGCAATCCTCCGAGAGCCGACAAGAAAAGGGTACCCTCCTTATTCCTAGGTTACTCTTGCTAAACCCTAAACCCTAAACCCTAAACCCTAAACCTAAACCCTAAACCCTAAATCCTACACCCTAAACCCTAAACGCTAAACTAAGCACTAGGTTACTCTTGGATCAAGTGTAGGCTTCTTTCGAGCCTGTCACAAGAGGCGAGTGCTCCTTGGCATCAAGGGGGCAAGGAGGCCGCGAGGATGATCTGGGGAGGGTCTGGAAGTTTGGGGTTCATTTTTGTTTTTACCCTAAACCCTAAACCCTAAACCCTAAACCCCAAACCCCAAACCCTAAACCCTAAACCCTAAACCCTAAACCCTAAACCCTAAACCCTAAACCCTAAACCCTAAACCCTAAACCCTAAACCCTAAACCCTAGCCCCCTGTATGCAACACGGGGGGTGCTGCGAGCCAAAGTCTCCGGCGTACAAATTCAGACATCCGTTGGCTTGGCAGGAGAGCCTTGCCTCAAAACTAGCTTCAGCATGCCTAAGGTTGGAGGGTTCAGGGTTTAGGGTTTAGGGTTTAGGTTTTAGGGTTTAGGGCTCAGGGCTCAGGGTTCGGGGTTCACACGAATTCAAAACAAAGAGATAGGGGCCTGACATCTGTGAGGAGCTGCCAGTGTGAACTCTATCAATCGGAAAGCCGCAAGCTCGAACCCGCCAACCTGCAACTCGCTGAGGCTAAAAACCCTGTCAGGCCCTTCAACCCCTTATAAACCTCAAAACTCAAAAGCTCCTTAAGAAACCCAAAACTTCAACCCCCTAGTACCTCTCAACCCTAAACCCTAAATCCTAACCCTAAACCCTAGAAACCCTCTACGCCCGAACACCTTTACCCCGAAGTTGAATGTGGGCGCCAGGCTGGCTCCAAGGGCAAGGCGGCTGCAAAAGCCAAGGCACCACAACTCCACCCATGCTGGTTCAGGGTTCAGGGTTCAGGGTTCAAGGTTCAGGGTTCAGGGTTTAGGGTTCAGGGTTCGGGGTTCTTAGGGTGTAGGGTTTGGGGAAACACCTATTTCTTTAACAAAGAAGTAGGCGCCATAATTTGGGGGGTCTATGGCTCTTCGGGCCTCCCCTACATGGAGTTGGAGGCTTTTGGGAGTCCCTGGCCCTCATCACGTCACACGCTGCCTCATGCGCCCCCAGCTTGTCTCTAAGCAACCCAAACGGAGACCTCCCACTCCCACCTCATCTCCTTCTAATTCGCCATCCTTCAAAGCGAAAAGGCCTCAAAGCTCTTTTTGGAAGAGCCGTCCACAGCCTTAGAACAATGAACAACATCCCCGGCACAATCCCCCAAACCCTAAACCCCTTAAAATCCCTTTAAGCCACCTTGAAGTGGCTTGAAGCCCCTCGAAGTCTCTCTCTAAGTCCCTTTAAATCCCGAGCCGAAACCCTAAACCCGAAACCCTAAACCCTAAACCCCAAACCAACGCTCTCCGAGAGACCCTCCAGCAACCAGGCCGGCAAGGGACAGCGCGGTGGGAAAGTTTGGGCCTCGGCTTCCCCGTGGATTTTTGGGGTTAGGGTGGACCCAGACATCCAAGCCTTGTTTGTGTGTGTGTGTGTTTGTATATATATATATATACATATATATATACACATATGTTCACTTTATTCCATTTTCTTATTGTTTTGTATATTGCATTCTTTTGGGGGGGGGGGGGGGGTAGTACTACATGTTTAACTGTTTGGTTGCTATCATAACGCAATATGCAATATGAAGAGGAACTACAAGCAGAGGTCTGGGTTGGGTTGATAAGTTTGTTGGCTTGGACTCCCGAAGTGGTACAGTCATCCGCTTAGGGCTGGGGGGCTTCCAGGCGTTCGGTTGTGAGGGCGATAGGGCTGGCTCAGGGTTTAGGGAGTTTAGGGTTTAGGGCTTAGGGTGAACCCAACCACAACCCTTTGGGTAAAGAAGAACCGCAACAGCCTCTAAACCGTCCAAAGCCTCGAAACCCTAAACCCCCGAAAGCCCCTGAACCCCAATTCCTCTAAACCTGGAACCGATAAACTCCTTAAAGCCTCCTAAAACCCAAATCGCTATAAGCACTACTTCCGCATAGTGGCGATCTTGCAGTTAAAATATTTTGTTTTTGGCATTTACCCTCCGTCCAGTACATTTTGGTGTTTTCACAACCCTCGGCCAAACCTTGCAGTTAGAATGTTGCTTCTTCCTGGCGTTGCACTTGGAGTTTTTTCCCAGCGTTGCAAATTGACTATTTTCCCCGAGGTGCAGTTAGAATAAGTTTCCAGCAGTGCAGGATGTATATAGGTAGACCCTTATGCCCTAATAGAAATCCTAGCCCGTAAAGGAGCATCATCTCGCATAAGAACATCCTGGGCTTCAGAGGGGGGGGGAGGGGGGGCTGGCGTCCCTGAGAGAGCTCCTTGGCCTTTTCAGGGCCTCGTGGCCTCCAACGTTTCCTCACCGAAAAGATAAACTACTAAGAACCCTGTTTGAACAAGCAGGAATCCTATGAAGCCTAATAAAATTCCTCTTAAGATTGTAAATTAAGAGGAATCCGGCTAGAACGAATAGGAATCGTATTCAAAACAAGTAGGATTCCTGCCCTTTACCCTGCACTCCCCCCCCCCCCCCCCCCCCCCCGCTTTTCAATATTCCAACCACAGGGTCGCCACTTCTAACCCTTCTGTAACCCTAAAACCCTGCGCTGCGCAGCCCTGGAATGTCTGGAGTCGAAGCAATGCCCGCGGCAAGGACTTGGGCTGAGGGCTGTTTTAGGTCATTTGGGGTTGGGATGTTCCCCCTCATACTAACAGCCCTTAAGGGGGACTATGAATATATAATAGGGGGGCTGTTAGTATGAGGCCCAATCGTTATGGGGCTTAGCATTCACGGTGTATGGGGTTGTGGGTTGCCACATGCAGGTATGGCCTGCATGCGTCAGAGAACTGGGCTATAGATTTCTGAGGTGATATGCTGTTCTTATATTTAAGGGTTCAGGGTTTAGGTTTCATGGGAGATGTATTTCGTGTTCCCCATATTATGCCAGCAAGGAGCAAAGCGGACAGGACGACCGTGGTGATCGTGCACGGGGTGGCAACAAGGCGGCCTTCCTCTCGCCTTGGGATCTCCCAGCGTCCCCGGTTACTTCTGAAGAAGCCCTAAACCCTAAACCCTAAACCCTAATACCACAACAACGGGAACCCCTTCTAATCCTGCATGGGGGTTCTGGCTTAGTGCAACTCCACCGATACCGCAAAGCTCAAGGACATGGAAATCTGAGCGCCCAAAAGCTGTCACCGCACTTCTTACTGTGACGATCCAAGGGCGTAAACCCCTTGGCGATGCTTAAGGGGGACGGGGGGCTGAGGTGGGTCCAGGTAGGTACTACTGTCAGGGGGTATGTTTGGGGACTTCATACAAAGGATGTGTTGGGCACCCACTCCTGAGCTAGCAGAAACGCGCCAGGGGCAGAAGTGGAACACCTGGAAACCGAAGCAAACCTCGGACGATGGCGGGAAGACTGACCAGTATTCTGGATCGGGGGCCAAGGCCTGAAACACCGGCAACAGCGTGCAGGTTTCGGTTTATAGAGTCGTTGCGCCGCGTAGAACTGCCTGATGAAGCCTGTCTGATTGAGATGGAAGCTTTCATCTAAGGAGGCCTGGATTGCACAGGGCCCGAGGGATTGTCAGGCTTCTGCTCCATAGCTTAACCCTACCCTAACCCGAACTCCTAAACCCCAAGCCGGAAACCCCAAACCCTAAACCCCGAAACCCTAAACCCTAAACCCTAAACCCTAAACCCTAAACCCTTTCCCAGAATTGGAACTCGTGGAGCTCCTCGTCCTGGAACAGTTCCAAGTGGGACGACTGGCAGAGTGGCTCGGGCAACAAGAGCAAGAAGGCCTGGCCTCCGGGGGCTTAGGGTTTAGGGTTTTAGGGTTTTAGGGTTTTAGGGTTTTAGGGTTTTAGGGTTTTAGGGTTTTAGGGTTTTAGGGTTTAGGGTTTAGGGTTCAGGGGGTTTAAACGGGGTTTAGGAGGTTTAGGGGAGTTTAGGGGGGGTTCAAAGGGTTTAGGATTCAGGGGCAACAGGAAGGCCCGACCCGCAAGAACAAGCTGGAGAGGGCGCAGGGGAGTTCTTGTAATTTCGCGCCCGAAACCTCTTTCAGCAAGGACCCTTCCACCCGAAACTCAAACAAAGCCCTCTAAACAACAGCCCTGATTAAGCCCCCGCCCCCCACCCCCCCCCCCTCGCCACAGTTTCGATTTGTTCTTGGGGGTTTGATCCTGAGTGTTGGTTTCGACTGTTCAGGTTCGCGGAAAGTTTCGAGGAGTTTCGTCGAAACAAGGAGTTGTTTTCAACCTTTGAATACTGTACTTTCCAATTGCAGGGGCAGGGTTCAGGGTTTAGTGTTTAGCCTAGGGTCTGTGTTGGGACGTTCCCCCTATACTAACAGTCCTCAATAGGAATTCTAACAGGGGATACGATGATCCCTATTAAGGACTCTTAGTATAGGGGGGAACATGCCAAGGTACGTGTTTTTATACATTTTTGACGGTTTTTTTTTGCCTACCTCGACTCATGGCTCTGAGCCCCGGACATCAACAAACATGCAGGGTCCTTGAGTTTCTGAATCGTGCTGCTGGTTTTCCTGCTGCCTTGCGCAAACCCTAAGCGGTAAATCCTAAATCAACGGTCAACCCTGTACAACAACCCACCTAAACCCTGAACCAACCCTCAACCCTAAACCCTAAACCCTAAATCAA